GTCATAAGCCAGGCCGAGGACAGCCATGCAGTCGATGAAGAACGTGGTAAAGTTGATGTGCCAGCGGTACTCACTGGCAGAGTAGTCATAGGGGAAGGTGTGGTGGTAGTTGTGGAAACCCTCACCTGGAACAAACCAAGGAGAGAAGTTATGAATCTCGGTGGATTGACGTTTTCCTCATCTTGGCAACATCTTACCCAGCAGCACACTACAAACCTCAGAGAAAGCTGTTGTTGCCAAGTGAATGGATGAACCCTGTGTCTTCTACTCTGAATCACATGCCCTGAGGCATCTTAAGAAATGAGTCAAGGCAACTGGGGCTGTGGCTCAGAGGTAGCACGCTTCCCTAGCAGGCATGAGGCACTGGGTTCGATTCTCAGCCCCACATACAAATAAATAAAATAAAGGTCCATCAACAACTAAAAAACATTAAAAAAAAAAAAAAGAAATGAATCAAGAAGCCCTGGTCACCAATGGCTGACTGGGAGCTTTTGTGATGGGAAATCTATCTTGAGGATAAGGAGACTATAGAGAGAAACTGGTACTGCTGACAGAGGATTGCTACTTCCACCCAGGGTTTCATAGCAAGGCACTAAGTGAGCAATCACAAAGCCTAACGTTCAATTTAAATGGAATCATACACACATGCATATACAAGAGAAAAAGGGAGAGAGCCAATGGGTTGCACTTGCGGCAGCGAGACACATCTCAAGGGGAGTGGCTGTAGGGGAAGGTCAGCTTTTTCAGGGAGAAGATGAGCATGTGACTGTGAGGGAGGTAATTCAAGATGAAAAACATCACAATGGCAGCAAACAATGGTAGAAGAGAAGCTCTGAGATGAGAAGGATGAAAGAGCAGCTTTGGAGTAATGAAAACAATGGAGACTAAGATGCTGACAATCACTTTTTTATGATCGTCCTTAAGGAGGCTAGAATCTGGAAAGCTTGCTATAGTATTATTTATAATACAGGACACACATGTATATGAAAATTCAGATTTGTACGGAGTACGTAATTTATTTCAAACATGAGTCAAAGTAAGAACGTGCATAATGGTAAAAGGTGCCTGATAGGATGAGGGAGATTATAGAAGCCCCCAAAATATAGGGGGGAAAAATACTTTAGAACAATAGGTCTGACCACTGATGAGAAGTGGCCATGCGGTCTGCACAGGAAAAATTAACTTGGGGCCTTTGTCAAAGTCTATATGTACTTGGAATGAAAGGACAGAAAAAAAGTAGAGACTAGAACTGTTTCCCTCATTCTGGCAATTGGAACCAGGATTATAGAGAGGATACAATTTAGGAATAGTGAACAATCAGATAAGAAAACAGAAAATTGTAATCAAATTCTCTGCTTTACTGGAGGATTCCCACAGTTCTGTGGAGGAAGAGGAATTCCTAGCATATAGTAAAAGTAAGCAGAAAACTGAAAAATAAAGGCCAAGAAGAAATGGGACTGATAGGAGGTGGGAAAGGACCACCAACAGATGCCCTGACTCTCCTCATACTTGCATCACTAAATAATAAGGCCAGCCCACTCTTTTGGTTTTTTTTTTTTTTGGTACTGGGGATTGAACCCAGGGGCACTTAACCACTGAACCACATCCCCAGCCCTTTTAAAAATATTTTATTTAGAGACAGGGTCTCACTGAGTTGCTTAGGACCTTGCTAAGTTGCTGAGGCTGGCTTTGAACTCACCATCCTCCTGCCTCAATCTCCCCAGCTGCTGGGATTACAGGCCTGTGCCACCGCACCCACTCTTAAAAGTAGGGCGTATTCAAATATAGTAGTGAGATTTAAAGTGTGGCATAGTTGAAATTTTTTAAACTAATTTGTAATCAATCTACATTTTATACAGAATGTTTAAATATAAAACACTAAACATACAAACCATGCAGATGTCTCAACTTTTGTATTTCTACATCCCCCATCCCATTGTAAGACTACAGCCTATGAGATGACTAGAAAAAGGAAATCTCAAAAGGACTCATTATAATAGATAGCACATCCTTTCCATTTATATAGAGTTGTTGCTTCACTCCCATAGGGTTTCCCAATATGCTGCCCCCAGTTTTATAGCGGAAGAACTGAGCTACAAAGTGGTCATAAAAACAGTCATTTGGATTTCTCTGGCTCCTAATCAGCAGACCACTAGATGTAGTCATATTAGGGATGGATGACTTACCCACAGCTCCCAGGGAAACCAGAATATTCTCCCGGGAGTTAATGTTCTTGTCATAGGGGCGGTATCCATACAGGTGGGCAGCACTGTTCACCAGCCAGGTGGCATTGAGCACTACAGCATATCGCAGGAAAGTGGCAACACACAAGCTGTTTAGAAAAGTTTCACCCCAATAGAACCAGGGCACCAGTGTGGGCAGGATGAAGCATATCAACAGGACAGCGGGCTTGTAGTACCTACATTGAGAGATCCCACAGTGAGTCAGTGGAAAGAGAACTCTCACATTTATCTGGACTGCCCATTCTTACTGAGTGGGTTATATATTTCCTCCTACACTATGAGTACAGGATGGCATAAAACAGAGGAAATGGAGTGAAAAATCTTTTTTCTTTCTCTTTCTTTTTGTACCAGGGATTAAAACCAGGGGCACTGCTGAGCCACATCTCCAGCCCTTTTTTATTTTGAAACAGGGTCTCACTAAGTTCCTTAGGTTGGCTTTGAATTTGTGAAATTCAAATAGGACTGATAGGAGGTGGGAAAGGACCACCAACAGATGCCCTGACTCTCCTCATACTTGCATCACTCCTGCTTCAGCCTCCAGAGCCACCACACCCAGATGGGGTGGAAATCAGGTTTTAGATGAAGCAATATGGACCTGCTAAATAAATGATTCTCATCTCTTCACTTGAAATCCATTTCTTTTTTCATGAGACCATAAGGTCATTTGGTCAAAAAGGTAAGGGTTCAAATCTCAAGCTCATTAGCCCCAATTCTGCTGCCTGGGCTATTACCCATCTGCCTTAGGGCTCCCTTAACTTTAAATGTCCACCAGTTTTTGGCATAGTCTATGCAAGAAGGCTTGCCTCTATTTCCTGTGACCACCCATAATTCTTTGCTATGCTTTTCCTTCAGGAGTCTCTTTGATCACCTGAAGGTCTCTGTCCCTCCAGAGGCCCTGTCCTATTCTTTCATGCAAAACCAAGCCATTAATATTCCAAGGACACTGACCGCTTACCTCCTTACAGCAGTCACACCTTTGACTTGTATGACTGACATTCCTTGCCTCCAACTCCTTTCCATTGCTGTCACTGACTGCATCACTACCATGGGTACTTCCTACCAGCTGACCTGTGTTCCTGCCTCTCCTCTCTCTGGCTCAATGGTTACTTCCACCCACTCTGAGAACAGGCTTTCTGAAGCACACCTCTGTGTCATATTGCTGCAGAGACCATTAGTAGTTCCATGTTGCCAAATGAATTAAATCCTACATCTGTGCCTCGGACTCCAAAGGAACGTTATCAGTCTCTGTAATCCTTTATCTAGAGCTATCCCTGTACTCTGAAAAGAAGGACCTTCCCGGAACATGCATGAGGGTATATTTCATTCTTTTCATTGTCTTTGCACCATCCCTGTTTACTCATCTTTGAGAAAAGTCTCTATCCATGGGTGGATTCTGATGCTACTTTATTTGTAAACCTCTCCCTGGAGTTCCTTACTGAGCAATCTCCCTCCTCTTTCTTCCTCTGAGTACAGCAGGATATTCTGCCTTGTATCATGGTTATTCGGGTACTTGGTTTATCCCTTAATCCCCAAATAGGCTTCATACTTCTTTAACATAAGGATTAGTTATATTCATTTTTGTATCCCTGATTGTCCTAGGTCAATAATCATTTCTTGCCCTTAATTTGTTTTACTAAGATAACACACACAAAGAAACAGAGCATTAGTTCATGTCTGTGAATCTGTGTCACATTAAAAATTAACTTTTAAATGATCTGAACATGTAAATCACTCCGTTTTTATTTTATAAGTTCTCAGAGAAAAAGTTGGGTCCCTGAACCTCAGATGCCCAGGGCCACATCCCCAGCCCCATCCTCCCTTCACTCACCTCCTCTGGAACATCACCAGCTTCTCAGCTTTTAGGTCAGATAGGTTCAGCGTCGCCCCCTTCTCTTTGACAGCTGGGTGTTTGCGCACAAGCAGCCAACCCACGTGAGAGAAGAAGAAGCCGCGGCGGGAGTTGTGAGGGTCGGCATCTGTTTCTGAGAACTTGTGGTGGGCGCGGTGATCTCGGGCCCATTCATAAACATCATTCTGGAGGGACAGAGAAGAGGAACGCAGGCCTGAGGAGAGATGCCCTCCTGGGAGAAGTCCAATGCCCAGATGTCTGCAAGGGCCCAAGGCTCTCAGCCCAGCCTCACAATAAGAGTTTGGCTCCAAAGAAGAGTTACTGGAGCCTGTCCTCTTCTGCTCAATTGCCCTGAAGCTCAGGTGGAAAAGCAACTTAATCCCAGGCCACAGGAAGAGCACTGCAGCTTCTTGCAGTTATATGATGGGGAGAATGGAAATAAATCATACTGAGCTCAGACAGTTTCATTAAGAAAGAACACTGCCATTTCTTGAGCAAAGAAGGGACAAGGTCCTCATGGGCCAATTTGTGGGAAAGTATGAGTCAAGTGGCCCCAGAGTGATGGTCTGTGGGTATAAGTGGCAGGGACTCTACCCTGATACCTGCACAACTGACAGCTCACCCAACTCAACAAGAACAGCAAGTGATTCATGACTGTGAGAACAGCCCCAGTAGGACAGCCATTGCCCTTTCCAGCTACTGTTCTCTAAACACTGATCCTCTTCATTCCATCCTGGATCAGTGACTGGGTAGAGACATAAGAGCTGAGCAGCACCCGCTACTTACCTGGAACGCCATGGTGTTGGCAAAGATCAGGAAGAGCCAGAGGGGCAGCCACGCTTTGTAAGTTCGGTGGCTCCACAGGCGATGAGCTCCTGCTGTGATGCCCAGGCCACTGATTAAATAGTACACATAGGCTGCCAGGACAAGACGATAAGGGAGTCACCAACAGGAAATTTCATAAGGCATGTCAAAATACTCTCCTAATGCCAGAGTCTGTGTGTTCTTCAGGTTTTGGGTGAGGAACTGCCTCCCCTGAAACTAAGGCCTCTTGGAGTTTTTTGTTTGTTTGTACTGAGGRTTGAACCCAGGAACACTTTACCACTGTGCTAAGTTCCCAGCCCTTTTTATTTTTTGAAACAGGGTCCCACTAAGTTGCTGAGGCTGGCCTCTGACTTGCAATCCTCTTGCCTCAGCTTCCAGAGTTTCTGCAACTATAATCATGCAACCTGGTACCTGGTAGCCTCTTGGCTTTTACCACATGAAAAGTATCATCATGTCTACGTATCAGCATTTAAGGAGGCAGGACAGCAGAAGGAATAGGACTCTCAYCACGGTGCCACTCGGCACTATCGGTCTGCAGGGGCATTATCCCAGAGCCTATTTCCTTTGACCTTCAGCTGAACTTTTGTAAGATGTTCAGGGTCTCAAAGTACTCCCACAGACCTTAGGACCTGGGAACTAGTTGTGAAAACAGCAGCAAGAGCTATGTGGCACTGCCCAGTTGGAGCAGCCATAAGTTGTAGAGAACAATCAAAGGATGCAGTGATGTGTCTATTTACCCCCTTGTACAAAAGTATTTCAGTCTTGCAGAAGACAATGTGTCTTGTTTCTGGGAAAGTCAGCCCTACAGAGTTCTATTTGCACAGTGGCTCAGGTCCTAGCAAAATATTAATATTCTGTAATTCACTGCATACCTTGAATGGAGCAGGTCCTATTAACACCTCATAGTGCAGTTGAAGAAATAGATCCCCCACAAAGATTGTTTATCTAGACCACACAGCTAATAAACCAAAGCCATGGTTTAAACCCTCTTGTTCCAGCTGTGCCAGCCACTCTCCAAGATCTGTGCCCAATTCCTTGTTCTCTCCTTTGCCAAGTCCCTGTGAGACTAGATTCTTGAATTCAATGCTAATTCTACACAACGCCAAGAGATAGTCAAAACCGGTAACCAGAACATTGTCCTGCCTCAGCATCCTCTAGTTCTGCAGGCTCACAAGGCAGCAGATATGATCTCTAATGGAGAAATGGGCAGGTGTACCTAACTCTTCATGTGTTCAGCAGTTCTACGGGGCATGGCTGAGGCCAATGTTTCATTCTGATCAAGTGGGTGCAACAGTGGATCTTCAAGGGCCACATCACTTAGTTGTGGTTGAAGACAGCACATTGTAACAAACTGTTCTAGTTCTTCCACAGTCAAAAATAACTATTTCCTAAATAGCCTCCTCCTCTCCCTCCCCGGCCTTCTGCATCCTATCCTGTTTCTTCTTCAGGATACTCAGGAAAGCCATAGTCAGTGACTGTCAAAGGAAAGTGTTGTTCCAGGTGACATGAGGTCTCTGACCATGTGGCAATTGAGACCTTCTAATGTTCTTCACCCATACCTGGAAAAATCACACTGGAACCAGAGCCCTGCAATCACCAGGAGGAAAGAAAGGGCTCTGGACAAAGCAGAAGCACTTGGCCAAGAAGCAAGGGAGCATTTAGGATTGTTTCATGGTGCAAATGTCCCTGGGACATTGAATCCAAAACTACATGTCGTTCTATCTTAACAGGGGACCTGGGACAAGAACCCAGGCACTCAGCTGCCTGTTATATCCACATTCATTGATTCTAACACAGTAGTGCTGTCCCATTTGGAATCTGGAAAAACTTTTACTGAGAAAGGGGTTCTTCTTAGTTACGTTTTTTCTGTGGCACCTGAGAATGTCTATGACAAAGTTCAAGGGACCAGATATCATCACCTATTAGACCTAAGAGATTGAGAAGGGACAGTTAACACCTGGCTGGCCAGCCAAACTTTCTAAACCACTGCTCTCCCGGAGAGCTGCCGGAAAACCCCCCACACCTTAGACTGTTCCAGGAAACTTCTGATGGTCTTCTGGAGAGGGCATCCTGGCTCCCCACTCCTCAGAGAGCAACATTTGGGCACCTGGGTTTCTAGAATTCCCTGTTTCCCCTTCCAACTCAGGCTTCAAGGGCAGAAATTAATCTGCTTGCAAAGCAGCACCTGTGGATCCAGGGGGCAGGACTGCTATCAGCCTCCAGCCACAGATCCCAGAAAAAGCTGAGCTTAGGGCGGGTCAGGGAGGACCTGGAAATCTCCTCTCTCATTACAGCTGCCTGAGGGCTAGGGAGGGGGCCAGGAGAGCTGGTATTAGAAGGTGCTAGCCCTTGCGGGCTCTGGAGAGAARCTGAATCAATGGATATAGGGAAAGGAATATGAAACATTTCTATGACCTTATTTCATCTTAAGAACATTTTATTGATTGGCATGTGCTTACCTAGAATAACAGTAGCACAGTATACAGAAATTTTCTTCATCTTCCTCCATAATAAACCAGCCTAATCTTCCCTGGGCGGGGTAAAGTCAAAATAGTTTTGTGGAAGACAAGCAAATGATACAAACAGAACAGCTCTTTCAGGATAGGGGTCTTTGTCACTTGTCTATACCTCAAAGCCTCCTGCACATGTTCTCAGCCTTGATCCCTAACATCCATGTCAAACTGCCCCCAGAACAGACACTTTTACATCCCAATCCTACTAGGCTCTATTCCTATCCCCATCAGCCTCTCTCAAGCAACCAAAGACATATGGGTGGCAAAAACTGGACAAAGAATAGTAGCCCTTCTGTAGAAGTCCCCACCTTATTAAAGATCAGGGAGACACCTAGGGGTACTGGCTCAGGACAAGAGGACATGCTTACCCCAGAGCCAAGTGTAGAACTTGCAGGTGGGAACCAGTATGATCCCATACAGGGCTCCCAGGTGCAGCAGACACATGAGGATGATGTTTCTCCAGACAAACTCAAACTTGGGCCTGGGGCCCTCTGCATCCTGGTAGCTGGGGTCATATATGTCATCTTTCATTTCAGGGCGGATGTCTTCTTCGGAGTAGAAAGGGTGGTTTTCCAACTTCTCTCCTTCATTCTGCGGGCTCCCCTTGGGAGGCGCTCTGATGGTGGTGGTGGTGGTGGTGTAGGAGCTGGAGAGCTAGCAGGAGAGTTAAGTGGAGAGTCAGAAGAGAGCAGAGGCTTGCAGCAGCAGGGTCACTTCGCCCTCTAAGAGGAAGGGGGAAGGGTACTGTAGAGGCACAGGCCCTGCCCCAGTACCCAGGTTACACAAGGGTGGCTTGAGATGGAATGGGGAAGTTTCCAGAGATTATGCAGACAGATTGTGGGTAGAACATTAAGGTGAAGTGGCAGAAGGAAAGAAGGGTGAAACACTCCTACCCGTGGCAAGGGACAAAGGAAAAAAATAACACGTATACATAAAGGTGCCGGCAACACCAGGTTTTTCTTTACTTTAAAAGCTTAAGAAACAAGGGGTATCAAGTGCCCCCTATTAAAAATTTAGTTACTAACTGAAAGCAAAGCAATCGAGTGAAGGCAGAGCAGCTAGAAAAAAGATGGCCAGATCCTCCCAGGAGTTTTCAACCAGTCACCTATAAGCCAATTCAAACCGCATAGCACGCGTGGCCAGAGCCACTTCTGGGAATCTCACCTGAAGCATGTGGGCCGGCATCTTGCCTCGGTGATGCTGGGATACGTTCCCAGGGCCGAGACTGCCGAGTGGAATTCGATCTGCAGAGGCCAGACGATGGACTAACCCGGCTTATGAGCCGCGATCTAGTACGTGCGCTCAGAACTGTCTGTGCGCCTTGCACGCGCGATGGATGTCCCGGCCGGAAACTGCAGTGCGCAGATGTCCCGGGGCTGCGTTTTTCAGGCTAGAGCTGGCAGTGATTGTGTCCGGTATTTCCTTGATTCCGTTTCAACAACGAGGGACACAAAGCGCAATGCTGGCTGAAAAAGCCAAGAGAGGAGGTGAGGGCGGGAAAAGGGAGGAGACCAAAAGGACAGGAGCGCTGTGAAGAGTCAAGGCACCAGGATACTGCAGACAACAACCCCCAGCGGCGGGGGTACATGCTAATTAGGCTTCCTCAACTCTGGTCGTCATTGGCCAACGGGAATTTGGTGCCACCTCGTCCTGCTGTCGCCATTGGCTCGGCGCAATCTGCTGTTCCCACTGCCACCAGGTCGTCGCTCCCCCGCCCCTCTTTTTCTGCTTTTGGCTTCTCCCCCCAGCCCGCAGCTGTTCCTCCGCCCACCACCCCGCGGCCTGGGGGCGCTGGTGAGCTCTCTAAGCCCGAGGACACTGTCACGTTGTTGGGGTTGGATCCAAGCCCGGGACTGGCGCGCGGAACAGTGTGGGAAGCCAACTTACCTCGGACCACTCTTGACTCCATCTTTTTCGCATCTCCCCAGGCGCGTGGGAGAGGAAACACGGTTTCCATCACCGAGAGTGGAGTAGCCAGCTCCCCTCCTTAACGAGCACCGGGGCTCTGGCCCAGGGCGAACTAAAGCTCAGCCTCAATCACCAGCTCCAGGATGATAACCCGAGACTCCAGGGAGTTCATTTCGAATAACCAGAAACTTCATAAAATCTGTGTGACTGCTCTCACGCACTCTGGTGTCACCGAGCACCTCCACAGGGTGCCGTCTCCACCAGGCTCAAGTGGGCTATCCTGTCACCATTCCTACGCCTCCAAAATGAGTCCGGATGCTTTGGGAATTCTGATTGTCRTGTGAAAGTTTGGAATCTTCTCTATGCAAAAAGTTAGGAAACACACAGGTGTTTTCACCCAGCAGAAGGGCAAAGGACTAGTATGTGGAATAAGGGTAGGGGGCCAGTATTGAATGAACYCTGCAAACCAACTCCCAAGAGTCATTTTATTGAATCCTCACAAGGTCATCTCACTGTAACCCTATGAGGTGGGTACTGCATGATTCCATTTAAAGGAGGAGGAAGGTGAGGTTTGGAGAGATCAAATGCGGTGGCTATCCATGATCCCAGCAGTCAGTAAGTGGTGGAAGCATGAGTTAAACGTAGAAATATGATGCTGGAACCCCAGCTCAGGACACTATTGCCCTGGGACCCTGAGGTGCTTTGACCTCACAGACCTATCAGGGCATAATCTCTGGGCCTCTGGGAGTCCTACCAGGAATTTTGAAGGCTCCACATTCACCCAGCCTGCTTCCATGCCCAGGTCTCCCCATTGCTGCTCTGAAGCTAAGGAGTTCTGTGTCTCTCAGGAAAAGTCACCTGGGATTGCCTGGGAGTAGGACAGAGCTCTGGCCTCTGGCCTCAGGGGCAGGCCACATCCTTGACCAGTGACTAGTCACCTTCACTCTATTCCTGACTCCCTGGTCAGTGGGAAAGTGCTAAATGAACCTAGCTCCCMGAGTGGAGCACCTATGTGGTAATGGCTCCGCAGGATGTGGAATTCAAGTCTGCCTATGCTGCTCCTCCTCAGATTCTCTCAGCAATGTCATCTCTGCTAAATTCCTTTGCCAACTGCAGTTTTTTACTCTTTGTCTAATCCATTCGGACTGAGAAAACTAACAAACCATGCGCCTTTTTCAACAAAAATACATTTCACACCGTTCTGGCAGGGAGTCTGTATCAAAGCACCAGGAGGTTTAATGTCTGTGAGGCCCCACCAGCTGGTTCACAGAGGGTCATCTTTTCTCTGTCTTCATTTGGGAAGGGGGTGAGGTTCAGTTCTAGGGTCTCTTTGTAAGAGGATCAATGTCATTAATGACCTAATCACTTACTAAGCACCCACTCCAAATGCTATCATCACATGAGAGATTAGGTTTCAGTGTATGAATTTGAGGGGATATAGCATTTAGAGTATTGCACTCTTTCAAGAAGAAGATTCAGGATTTCTTTTAGGGTATACCCTTAATTGTAACTGGAGATGGCTCTCCCTTTGAGACCAACTTTCCTTCTATTTAACTACCTAAGTATATTGACCTTTGTTTCCTTCAGACCCTGGACTTCATCAGGTAACAATAAAAAAAAACAGGGTCTCCTGAAACCTGCCCTGTTGAGAGCCACAGTTTAGTGGGAATGACGCCTGGCATTTTGCTAGAGGGAATGGTTGAAAGGTGACCCTGTTCTGGGATTAGGGCAGCTCCAGGATTAGGGCACATCCTGGGGGGGGGGGATAGGGCGGCTCCGGGATTAGGGAGGATCCTGCTGCCTTGGGTGCCCTCTACTTTGGAGTTCCCGTTGAGTTCTCCTGGGGTTCCTGGAGAATTGGCACGTGGAGCCCGGTGGAGGGAGTGTGTTCCMGGGAAGTGTGTATAGAGTGCCCGTGAGAGTTCGGGAATAAAGAGTTGCTGTTTGAACCTACAAGGCTGTGTGGCGGCTCGGTTATTTCGTGCCCAGCCAGACTGTGGCACTGCCCTGCCTGCCACTTAGTTAGCCTCTGGTACACAGTGCTGCTAATGTTGCTAAAATTAAGGCTGGCAATGTTACTTAGGCTGGGCACCATGTCATTCATTTTCTGCTAGAGAAAGAAAGTGGGTTGCCAAGACAAAGGTAGAATAGGAGTCTTGTATTTCTCTTCAAAGACAGGCTACTGCCTGGTAGAGAAAGCTCTTGGAGTCCAGGGAARTTCTGGGTTAGGGAGAGTGAGCAAAAGGTCAGAGCCCACTTGGCTGTTGATAACCAAAAAAGTGGGACCTGGTTCATCCCATGAATATCTGTGACAATGTCACCCACCACTTTCGGACCTCAGGAGCTCATGACCACCCACAAAATAAGGCTGCATGGTACAAATAATATTATTAGAAAACCATGAGCCTTAGCATCAAGAAGTGTTAGGTTAGTGACAAATTAGAATTTTTAAAACTTTGGTCAATATTTCTTTACAATACAATCATTTATGACTTAGCTGAAAGATATTTTCTCAAACAAGACATGGGACAAATTATGCTAGGATTGAGASAGAGATTATGATAGGACAGAGATTGGAGCACTGACCATTACTTTATGAAAAGGGGCAGAAGTTACCATGGAAGTTAACTTCATTTAATTTTTTGTTTTTTGTAGGGGGAGTACTAGGGATTGAACTCAGGGGCACTCAACCACTGAGCCACATCCCCAGTCCTATTTTGTATATTATTTAAAGACAGGAGCTCACTGAGTTACTTAGTGCCTCGMTTTTGCTGAGACTGGCTTTGAATTTGTGATCCTCCTGCCTCAGCCTCCCAAGCCACTGGGATTATAGGTGTGTGCCACTGCACCCAGCTCATTTAATTTTTTAACTCAAGAGAATAGGAAAAAACAGGTACAATTTAGCCATCTTAAGTAAATACCATGTCAATAACAAGAACTTTCTGTTGCCTTCAGGGTGAAGTCTTACCATTGTAGGCTCACTGGGACCAAACCTCCCACCCTTCTATTTATGCTGTCCCTCATCTCTGTCTACCTTTAAGCCTTGTTTTCTCTATTCCCATGATATTCCAGTGTTAGAGCCTGAGAATATTCTTTTCCCTTTGTCCAGACTGCCCACTGCCTGCCCCCCGTCCCTTCTTCCACTAAATTTCATTTAGCTAAATCCCATTTTCTTCAAGTGTCCAGAAGGTTTACCAGGCTAGCCCATATCGGGCCCTCTTCTGTCCTSTGCTTTCATCATTTTCATGCTAGGATGCTTCCTGAGGACAGAGCCATGTCTGTCTGCTTCACTGCCACCTTCCCAGCAGTACGGGGCTTAAGGAAGTTCTCAACAATGATTTGCTTATTGAACTTGTTACATAAATCATCAATAGGAGATGTTAAAGGATTCTCTCTTTAAAGACTGCTGTCTTCAGGCAGTAGATGTACGTTTTAGTAGAGACACTTACTGGGAACTATTATCATTAAAGTTTTTTTAATTGTTTTTTTTTTTTTTTTTTTTTTTGTACCAGGGATTGAACCCAGGGGTGCTTAACCACTGAGCCACATCCCCATCTCCCTCCCCTTTTTAAAAAAAATTTTATTAGTGAGAGGGTCTCACTGTGATGCTTAGGGCCTTATAAGTTGCTGAGGCTGGGTTTGAATTTATGAGTCTCTTGCCTTAGCCTCCGGTGTGGCTAGGATTACAGGCATGGGCCACTGCACCTGGCAGACCACTGAAGTATTTTTTAATTTGGGATTATCATTAATTGAGACTATTCTCATATTTCATAATGAAAGCAAAGAAATATTGCATCTTCTCCTCCCCACCTCTACCTTTTGCATTTCCCTCTGCTCCTTTCTCTCTTCTTCCCTCTCCTTTTTCCTCCTTCCCTTCTTTCACCTCACCAACAATTTCAATCCAAATGACAACGTTGCAGGGTAGATGTTTTCATGGCAGTTAWATTTGCGGGGGAGGGGGGGCCAGAGGTGCAAAGAATTGGCTGCTGCAGTTTAAGCAGGTAAGGGGCCCTCATGCAGGGGGGCTGCCGGGCTCTRGGTGCTGGAGTCTGAGTCAGGTAAGGAGAGCACCCATGTTGAGGGGACAGCCTGGTGTGCAGTGTTGGACCCTACATGCATTGAGGAAGGAGACCATGTGGTAAAGAATGGGACACTTCAACAGTCTCAAAGAATCTTCCTTCTATAAAAGGCTAGAGGTCAGGGCTGAGGGCCATCCCTGCCCACAATGCTGCCTTTCGCTTTGTAACATTTTCAGCAATTTGAGATCTCCAAATCCAGAACTAGCCTTCAAGGGTAGGAAAGCATGTGTGTCAAGGAAAAATAAAAGGGTATAATTTTATTTTCTTTAACAGTTTATAGCTTGCTTTATAAACCCATGTCTGTGGGCCTTCCTTTGTTCTCTTGCTGGGGCCCTGCAAATGATAGGGCTGGACTGCTGGGAATTCTCCCGGTAACTTTGTTTTCCATCTTATTTTTCCAAAAACACAAATTAAGAAAGTGGCATTTAAAAAGCCCTCTGAGCCTGTTTGTGCCTTTCATCGCAGTACCGTAAATTGCTGGTAAACATTTCACAAGCCAAGTTGGCACAGGAATAATTAAGCTACAGCAAGAACTAGCACATGCCAAGCAGTCACTTCAGAGCCAAATGTCAGTGACTGGAGAGGCCTGACCTGGTTAGAGCAGCCCAGGTCCCCTCCACATCTCAGGATGGGCATGTCACTGTCTCA